GGTTCCGTCCTTAAGAATATTAATGGAAAGTCTTACTTTAATTTTCAAAACTTCATGGTGAGGCGAGGTGATAATAAATAGATTGAACGATGATTTATGTACGAATTTGCAAAACCGACTAAAAACAATAACTGTTTAGCCCACATTTTTTTGTTAGAAATGCAATTTTTTTATTTTCGCTAAATATTTTCTGTGAGCATTAAGAAAAACTTTAGAAGGCATTCAAAAGCGGATTTAGAATTTATTGAGCAACATGTTTAAATATGAACGATGACTTAAATTAATGGAAGACTGGGCGAGGTGAAGAGGAAAATAAATAGATTGAATGATGACTTAAGTATGATTGGGCAAGGATCGGTAGTGTGGTACCGATCTTTCCCTATTCCGATTTATTTACTTTATTTGACTAACCAATAACCACTATTAAATTCAAATGTCTTTATATTTGGGTTTTACATCGTTGATTAAAAGTGTCTAAATATGAATGAGAATAGATTTTGTACGGAAAAATATATTTTGAAGAAAATGAATATGATAGTTTGTTGTTATGGTAAGAGAAATAAAATAAAAATTATAAAAAAAAATTGAAAAAGGGGGAAGGGGGGAATCGTTATGATGCTAGCGACAGCTATGAAGTTGGTAGCTATCTCACTAGCGACTTCATTGGGAGACCGTTGCTACCTTTACAGCGACAGTTCTTGTGATCGATCGGTATCAACGTACCAATCGTATCATTTTTTATTTTATTTTTCTCTTTTTTCTTTGATTTTTTTTTTCTTCCTACCTTACTTTATTTAGTTTCAAATACCTTTAGATTTATATTTATATCATTGTTTCGAATGTTTTGACATGGATTATAAGAAAATTTTCGTTGAAAATACATTTTGTAAAACATGAAGATGATAGTTTGGCGTTATGGTAAGGAATTTTTTTTTTTTAAGCAAAAACATAAAACAAATAAAATTGACGGTTTAGGCGTAAGGGGATGCAGCAGTAGCCCAAGCCCAATGAGCTCAAGCACTAGCTGCATCCCATACTCATGACCTTGGGAAGGCCTAAGGCGCAGCAGAAGTAATGCTCTTAACTACTTCAGCTACAAGTTTTTCTTACAGCTAGTTACACATATTAAGTAAAATAACGTTGATTACTACCTTAAGAAAACACATTGAGCTGCCTCTTTGAGGCTTTGAGTATTACTAGTTCCAGCGTCAATTTCGATGGCAAAAATGGTCGATATCACGTCCTATATATGCAAGAATGGCATCGATATGAATATGTGCAAACAGTGACAAACTGCTACCAGCAAGAACCTGCGGAACAAATTGGCAGACCTTGGGCTTGAGCTCGACATCGGGCGCAAGAACAAATCGCATTCGACACGTACATAAAAATAACATAATGAAAACTCGCGAAAAGAAAAATACGACCGACTCTTTCTAAGTAAGGAATTATTTTTTTCTCATTTGCATGGCAATAATGTAAAGAAATCATAAACACACTACAATGGAGAAACCAACAACGAAAAAGAATGAAAAAGAGCAAGAGGCTGAACAAACTGCAATGGTGACAATTTCATTCATATATAGAAACTATACGGTCTCAAGATCCTGCCTACCGAAACACATTTACCACACCGATTCCTCCCACGTTGTTATATGATTTGACCGTTTAGTTCATAAGGCACTAAATTTGAAACTACAAATTCAATTTAGTTTATGAACGTTTAGTTCATAAAGGAGAGGTTTCTGCAAGAACATAAAATGCAATATACAACTAAGTGTAGTGGATTTAAGGTTCTTCAGGAACTCAAGTGTGAGCGCTTTGGGACTACGAAAATGTGTCAACGGTTCAAAGTATAAAAATAAATTATTGAATTGTTAATGTCCAAAAGTGAACTTCATGTCAATAATTTTGGATTCATTATCAGATTAATGGACTGCATGTCACTTTTTTGGGTTGAAAAATTGCCCCCCAAAAAAAATAATTGGGCACGGGTTGGTTGCCTTGAGTAAAAGGCATGGCCCAAAAGGGCCTCGGGTGTGAACTTCAAGTCACGGGGTGAGGGAGAAACCCCAGCCGCAACTAGGTTTCAATTTTTGGACCAAGGGAGGGCACAAGACAAGGCCCAGCATGAGCTAGCCTTGGGTTTGGTGTGAGGAAACCCAGCTGCAATGGACTGGTTGTCATGCAAGGCGGGCCGGGGTGCTGCAAGGCCCAATAAGCTATGCGGCTTGCTGGCGTGGACTGAAGGCTAGGGCTGGCTGTTGCACAAGCCCAACAACCATAAGGTTGCGGTATGCAGGTGAGGGGACTCAGCTAAACGGCGCTGGTTTCAGCGTTTTGGGCTCGGGGCTTTAGACCCTGCAGAGATGAAGTCCAGGTCATGGCCTAGTTGCTGTATCCATAGTGATGGTGCGATGGTGTGCCGCACCATATCCCATTCCCCTTTCTTTCAAAAATCCCTTAGGGTTTAGGAAACCCTAAAATTGCTTCTAATTTAATTTTATACATTGACTCACATATTCCACATAACAATTTAATTGTGCGATGCATGAAACAAATATATATATTGACAAATATATGAACATATACAATATATATATATATATATATATATCAGAATGAAAATATAAACATAGAGGGTTCATGCATCATGGAGAATGTTTTGATGCTTCATGGTCGTTTCAAATATCTTACTTTATTTTAAGCGTACCTGATTGGCAGAAAACAATAAAAGCCCTTGAATTTGTAGAAGATCATTCTCATAAAGCTAGAATTGCATTTCCAATGCGTTGTATCACGTTCAACACAAAAAAGATTAAATTGAAACAATAGCATGTAGATGAATTCAATAAAATAATTAAATTAATTATAAAAAGAATGATTAACATGTAATACTCCCCTTATTGAAGAATAAACTCTTGTTAGCGCAGCGTCAAGAGCATGGTGATAACGTGTTGTAGACATAATTTACTGAACAATTATGGAGGCCATAAAGAGAGAGAGAAAGGTGCGGCAATAGTAGAGAGAACCAAGAGATGTGTAATTGTGGGTGCGTTCTATTCCACCCCATTGTGTCTTTATTTATAGTAGTATGGAAGGTTAATTCCTTACTCTTTTAGAATTACAACTCTTAATAGGTAATCAACTCCTAATAGGAATATAAGAGATATTCCAAGATATACTAGTATTTACACAATTACATTCTAAATCTAATAGGACTGCAACAAGTTTGTTGTTATGGTAAGAGAAATAAAAGAAAAATTAACAAAGAAAAAAAAACTAGAAATGAAAAAAAATTGAAAGGGGGGATCGTTATGATTCTAGCGACAGTTTCAGTGGTCCATCGGTAGTACAATATCGATCATGTCATTTTTTTAATTTTATATTTCTCTTTTTCCATTGAATTTTTTTTTCATCCTACCGTACTTTATTTAAATTCAAATACCTTTAGATTTAGATTTATATCATTGTTTTCGAGTGTTTTGATGTGGATTATAAGAAAATTTTCGCAAAAAATACATTTTTTAGAACATGAAGATGATAGTTTGGCATTATGGTAAGGAATTTTTTTTTTTTAAGCAAAAACATAAAACAAATAAAATTGACGGTTTGGGCACAGGGAGATGCAGCAGTAGCCCAAGCCCAATAAGCTCAAGTGCTAGTCACATCCCATATCCATGCCCTCGGGAAGGCCTAAGACGCAGCAGAAGCAATGGAGGCCCATGAAGTTTAGGGTTTAGGAGCGTAGTGAATAGTACGGGCCGTAAAATTAACATCCTAAATTTGACACGTTTCAACGCCCGACATGTGTATCCCAAGTGAAGATGGAAATATTTAGTCCTTCATGGCTAAAGATGGAAAATTTTAATCCTATAGTATTCTCTCAAATATTAATTTTTGAACAGCTAATACATAGCTAAGGGTTATGCTTAGCCCTCCACAACCAGAGATAACTTGAGAGCTTGCTATTTGCAACGCTAGGCCAAATTTAGCCCTAATTCTTTTTAGCATATTCATTTTGGCTCTTAGCTAAAGACGAGTTTAACATAAATTCTGGCTAAAATGGCATATAACCCTGACTGGAGAGTGTGTGACTAATGCTTGCATTTTCGATTTGACAAAATAAAATAATGCGTGCATTAACGTTGCAACTTTCAGGCATGGCAAAGTTACTTATAAGCCAATATAAATGAAAGCTTTGCTTCGTTGAGAAAATGAAAGATTTTATTTTAAAAGTGGGGTGAACACAGCACTCAATTTTATTTTTTAAAATCTTTTATACAAGTGGGGAGGGTAAAATCAAATATAGAATTTAAATATATAAATAAATACTCTTAACTATTTCAACTACAAGTTTCAAATATAACAAGAGTATGAATTTGCCAATCTTAGTATACAATTCTCCTGTAATTTGGTTTCACTGACACCATGCGATCCTCAATCAGTGTAAGAGTTGCCAGTTAGTAACCCTATGCATTCTCTTTTGCTATAACATTCATTCAACTTGTTGATTCTCCTACTCATTTTCTCCTCTGCACACTCGGGTTTCTTCACGGTCATAATATCTCTTACGAACATATATTAAATTGCAATGGTAAGTGACGTTTATAATCATAATAAAATGTAAATCAAAAGAAAAATCAAACAACATGAATGGGTAATAGTGCGTAGAATGAAAAAATTAATTTTCTATTTATTATTATTTAGCGTAGTGCTATCCACATACCTATTTTTACTTCTCACACATTTCTCTTAATTTTCAACCGTCGGATCGAATGAGTTGAAGAAAATCAATAGCAAAAAATTAATAAAAACGTGTGGGAAGGAATAAAAAATGTGTGAATAATACTATCTATTATTTATTATCCACTTGGCCAATGAAAACATTCATCACCTTACAAAAATAAAAAATGAAAACATTCATTCAATTCAGATTTCAGATTATCAGTATAAATACAGAGCAAAAGAAAAAGCACCACTAGGCACCAAGGCCAAAGAAACATAAAAAAGAGCTAAAGCTCTCTCTCTCTCTCTCTCTCTCTTCCTTTACCAACTTAGTTTAGTAGCAGCCGTTAAGTTCATAACTTTTCTTTCTTTCCATGGCTCCACTCTCACTCTCCAACCAGCACCCATTAATCTCCTTTCTCTTCTTCCTCACACCCGTTGTCATGGTGGTGGGCATGCTTGGAGTTCTGGGGGTGGACGGAGCAAATTCTCCGACGTCTTCCAGCACAACATGGTGTGTGGCTAGGAGTGATGCGAGCGCACAGGCTCTTCAGACAGCCTTGGACTACGCATGCGCAGCAGGTGCGGACTGTTCTCCAATCCAACCCGACGGACTATGTTATCTCCCAAACACCATCCAAGCTCATGCCTCTTATGCCTTCAACAGTTACTACCAGCGCCAGGCTAAGGCCCCTGGTTCTTGCGGCTTCTCCGGCACTGCCACCATTGCCCAAACAGACCCCAGTACGTCGTTCATTTCTCTCTTCCTTTTCCAATCCTCCAAAAAACCAACACAAAATATTTTTTGATATTTTATAATATTTCTTTATTTTATAGAGGGGGACTAATTTGTTTATTGTTAATTTCCTTTTGTGTAGGTTATGGATCTTGTGATTACCCATCTTCCACAAGGTACGTTGTTCTTCTTTTAATTCTTTTACCAAAAAATAAACTAGTCTTATATTTTACTCCTAGGATGCACTGTTTCGGTTGATGACTGGATTTACGTATTTTAATTCAACGTTACATTTTAGCAGTATATAAAGCGATTGAATCACATATAGTTTGTACATTTCTTGGTGATTGAAATTAAGTTTCTTCCTGTTCACGCAATTAGATCTTTCTCTTTTTCTTCTTTCGAACTTTTTAAGAGATTAGAAATAAAGAGTTTATTTTTATATGATGGATATTGAAAAGAAGAACGCTTTGTAGAAAACCATTCTCTTTGGTTGCTGTAATTCTCTGTGCCCAACAGAAGAAAAAAACACTTTGGTTTATAGAGAGAGGATTGTGTCTTTCGAGTGAAACTTCTTATGGATGTTTGACACGTGTCTTTCTGCATGGGATGCTGTTACTGATGCTTAAATCAAACCGTCCGTTTCTAAGTTATTGCTGTCTCTCTCTTCTTAATCTTGGGTTGCTCACTGTTTTTGTACTTGTGTATTTTAACTCTATTTATTTTTTGAAAAAAAAAAAAGACTATTTATTTGATTTTTTTTTTATAATTATTTTTCTGGGTGTATGCTTGGCTTGGAAATTGTACTTGGTTTTTGGTTCTGAAATCAGACTTGACCTTAATTTCTTACCGTCGGATTAGTCCTTAGTTGCAACCAAACCAACGGTCAAGATCACATCTGATGGTTCACTTGGTTGCTTTTTTAGTGGGCAGAGTCAGTGACTGGCATATGATATGGCACCTATTCTGGTGTCATGTAATTATGCACTCTTCTGATCATTCTGCAATCCATCTGCTTTCTTCACCACACTTTGACCATTTTGGACTTCTTTTGATTTTTAATATTTTTTAGAGTATCAAGATTTTTAACCTTTAGATTTTAATCATTAAATTCTTAATAAAGGATTTTACGGTCAAAAATTTAAATGTACAAGATACACTAAAGCATATTAAAAAATTTTGATTTCATTTGATTGAACTAAGATTTTCTTTTTCTGGGTACAACAAAAACCAAACTTTATTCCATTAAGTAGAGTCAGCTCGGCTGTCTGAATTCTAAAACGTTATTAGGTTCGGTTTTGTTTAAGTTTTCCGTTACGTCTTTTTTTTTTGGGTATGTTATGAATTCTATTTATCTTCTTATTAAAACATTTAATGTAATTACATTTTCTTGATCCCTTGCTTAAGTAGTACATAATGGTAGATTATAGAGGATTAGTCTTCTCATTTACCCCCGTAATTTTGAATGTGGGCCCAAGATTAATTAACTGTCAAAAATTCAAAGATGGAAATGGAGGCTCGGGCATGTGGGCCATTGTCCAGTTTGGGACAGTATCTATATGTCACATGTGAATGTTCTTATTCTGTATTAAGTATTTTGACTGGTCATCTTCTGTTTTCTTTTTAATTTAAAACTTTTTTTTTTCTGTTTATTTATTATTGTGCCTTATAATTTATGGTGGTTTTGATTGTGTGAGAAGAGTTGCTCTCTCTGTAGTTCGAGAACACCTTGAGTTTAATTTACATGGCATCAGTACACAATTACGTAACATTATATACTAATTTAAGGTAGTTTTGTTTGCCACTTAATTTATTTTTAATCACATTGCGCTATGTCTATTGCAAATTTGCAGCGCGGCTGGAGGGACAACTTCACCTTCCACACCACCAACAGTTCCAAATCCACAAACGCCACCTTCGACGTTCGCACCACCCTTCACCGGCGGATTCACTCCCGGATCGACCCCGATGATCCCCGACGATAACTCAAAAGCGTCCCTCGATTCCATGTCCCCAACAATCTTGATGCCCATCTCCCTTGTTCTCATTCTTTTATTCGCCCAAAATTAAACCCCCAATGTAGGTCGTTTATTTTTTTTTTAACATTGCCCTAATGCGGAAAAGTGGCTATCTACATTTTTTTGTTAGAAGTTGGAACCTTCTTTGTCTGCTTCTATCTTGCTAAGCCTCCCCATTAGTATTTTTCCAAACTAATTTGGGTCTGAATCTCATAATTTCGAACCAATAGTTCAATTAACTCATTGCCAAATATTTCGTCGATTTCAATTTTTTACAGCCAGGTTACACGTACTAAGTAAAATAACGTCGATTACGTTCAAAATGTACCTTTAAAAAAAAACACATTGAACCGCCTCTTTGAGGCTTTGAGTATTACTAGTTCCAGCGTCAATTTCGATGGCAACAATGTTCGATATCACGTCCTATATATGCAAGAATGGCATCAATATTAATATGTACAAGCAGTGACACAACTGCTACCAGCAAGAACCTGCGGAACAAATTGGCTGACCCTGGGCCTGAGCAACATCGGGCGCAAGAACAAATCGCATTTGACACGTACGTAAAAATAACTTAATGAAAACTCGCAAGAAGAAAAATAGGACCGACTCTTTCCAAGTAAGGAATTATTTTTCTCATTTGCATGGCAATAATGTAAAGAAATCATAAACAAACTGCAATGGAGAAACCAACAACGAAAAAGAGAATGAAAAAGAGCAAGAGTCTGAACAAACTGCAATGGTGACAATTCCATTCATATATAGAAACTATACGGTCTTAAGATCCTGCCTACCGAAACACATTTACCACACCGATTCCTCCCGCGTTGTTATAGGATTTGACCACAGCCGTGCTAACGTTGGAATGAAAGAGAATATGAGCCGGTGTTTGGATCTTTGACAGCTTTAAAGTTGTCGACGCTCATTCCAAAACGGCCCAAGAGAGAATTGCCCATTTCTTTCAGCTTCCCTGCTCACACACAGAACAATTTCAAACCCTTAGTACTTCAAAGATTTCTTTAACTTTTATTCTTCTTATGAGAAAATTTAATGTTAGCAAGTGAAAAGTACAGAAACGTAGATTGCAGAGATCAATGCGTCCCACTAACAGCCTAGGCTAAGACTTATGCCACATACATGCAAAACATATCACCCATAGGCATAGCAATTTTGGACATGACGTCTGATGTCACCAGAAAGTACTGAATATGCAAATAACCACCAGTCATGAGGTAGAAGAATTGAAACAAACATCTTTAATAACATAATCACTTATCCTTAATAACATAATTACTTTCTAAAAGAGAACCAATGTGTTAAACATTCATCTAGTTGACAGCGTCAAGAAGGATAAAATATTGCCCTACCGCTCCCTAGCAACTCCTATGGAAATCACGAACAAGTTTCAATGAAAGCTAGCGAGTCATAAGCAAAGATCATGTCATTAAAGAAATTGATTAGTAGGCTGCATCTTAGTACTTTCTTATTTCCACTATAGTTTTTCCACAGTTTCACAAAATAAGACAAAATAGTTACTTTGGTCTTTCAGCAAGTAATTATTCGACTTCACAAAACCACATTGCTTATTGTCCTGTAATACAGTCCAATTCGCCTATCCTTTGGTCTTCGTTTCTCAAGATAAAGAGATAAGTTGTGTTAATGTGAAGGCTTGCAGAATGGTCCACCTATGAGATGGATTGGGATTCTTTTCCGTACTTTACTGGAAAATTATATAATCATGGTACAGATAGCATTTGGGAATAATTTGATTGAGTGGGCACAAGAAAGAGAATATAAAACCACGAAACATGAAGTGGTCGAGAAAATAATTAAATCAAACCACCAATCACTTATATACAAAAAAATGAGAGAAACTCACCTATCATCTCCTCTTTCATCTTTTCTCTCTTTTCTTCAGCTAGCGGCCCCAACCGGCGAATGGCCTTTTTGGCTTGGTCATTTGAAGGATCAAGTTCCAAGGCACTTTTCATATCTGCAGAATATAAACAAGAATTAAGCATTACATATAGCATTAATCTACAACCCATACAAATGAGAAGACAAGTTGCTTCTAGTGGTTAAATTGTGGTATTAAATTCCAACTTACCAACAATAGCCTCTTCAAAATGCTCGAGCTTTTCATGAGCTTCTGCTCTTCGAAGCAGAGCTTTCATATACGAAGGATTTAGTTCAAGCGCTTTCGTGCATTCCTTGATTGCGTCCTCATACTTTTCCTGTTACATATTAAGAAATTCGGAATCACAGATTGTCTAATATATGAGAATCAAGGGGGAACCAGAGTCCACAAGAGTTTCCAAACATGTGAACCGCATAACGTACCAATTTCAAGAAGCATACTGCACTGTTTAAATGACAAATGGAACGTAATTCGACAGACGATGGCATGTCAGGTGCAAGGTGTAAAGCAAGCTCATACTGGGATAATGCCTCTTGGTACTGCCCACTGCCAAACAGTCTATTGCCTTCAATTTTCACATCACTTGCTTCTTCAAACGCTTTCTGCTTCCCATGAAATACGAACAAATCGAAAAAACATATATTTCAACACAAAATCAGTTCTCCGATCAGATATGAACACATTGAGTTTTCAGATTTCAGAACAAAATTGAACTCCTCAAGCATCAAGTAAGTAATTGATTCGTAAAACCCCATATATAACCAATGAAATTAACCTGAAGAAGAAATGAAGAGTCGCTTCGATTGGGAGATACCTGATTCGATTCAACGTCGTCGTTCTGGGAGGGAGTTTGTTGTGGCTCGTCTTGGAGATGGATTTGTTGAGGGATTTCGTCGTCGTTGAGTTCGCCGTCGCTGGCGGTTTCGAAGCCGTCGGAGGCATTTCTGTTGGTGGCGGTGGAAGAGGAGGAGGAGGGCTTTGGGGAATTCATATCGCTACGGCATCCGTTCCCTTCTTCTTCTTCCTTTATCAGCATCTCTGTTGGTTGAGAAGGTTTTAGGGATTTCGACCGCGTCGCCGTCGATTGCGTTTTCTTCAGGAAATGGAAATTTTATATATGAATGAATACGTATAGATCACTGCACACTCCCCGTGTTTCCAGAAAGCTCTTTTTCCCTCTTTTTCGTAGGCTGGAATCGGTTCGGTGGGCCAAACCGAAACTTCTTCCTGTGGGTTCGGTAAGACCAAAATCTGAACCGAAATCAAATTTGTTCTTTTCAAAATTGTTTGTTACTAACTCATAGAACTTTGTATTTATGATTAAAAACGTTTATATTATAAACCACTATATAATGATTATTTCCGTAAAAAATCAATTAAAATTAGGATCGGTTGAGTTATCGAACTGTATAAAAACAGATGAACAAACAAAATTGGTAAAAGCATTAAAAAACGTTTATGTATTCGCTATTATAGATTGATTAAACGACCTTAATTTTATTTCATTTTTTGCAGAAATAATCTTTACAATGTGCTTCATAATATGAGCAGTTCTAATCTTTATTAAGGGTACAAGTCAGCAATACAGTTAGAAATAGAGGTATCAAGTTTGTTAGTATTTGGTTAGAGTTGTTAGGCTTACCAGTATAAAAACAAAGTGTGTAATCTTCATTTTTTCAGTTAATACAAATCATATATCTCTCTCTCTCTCTCTCTCTCTCTAAGATCTCTGTGTTCATCCTTTCTTCTTGACTTTCTCTTCAATTCCCAAACATTTCAACTTAGTTAACAATCTTAAGCACAAAGCTCTATGATAACACGAAGAGTTTTGAGTAGGAGTTCTTACTCATCCTTGAGTGGTCAAACATTGTTCAATGGAAAAATGGGTCAGTACAAACCAGTTCAGTTTTTAATCTAAGCTACAATTGTGGTTTACTACCCACCTATCAGTTTTTAATCTAAGCTGCAATGATGGTTTGCTACGCACCTATTAATTGTGGTTTGCTATGCACGTAAACGGCTCGAAGATTACAGAAGATATGAAATTTGATTGGAAGAAATTGTATTAGATTATGTGGAAGATAATTTAACCCTGTCGTCCACAAGTTGAAGACAGAGGGCTCACAACTAGAAATCTGCAGATGTATTACAAAAATGTAGGGATGAACCAATCTGTTGTTATGATATTAATCAATAACGTCCTTCGGTTTCCCGCTTGCCATTGTTTAGGCACCGCTGTCTGTAACCGGACACCTATCGGGCTGCCTTACAATGTAAATTACGTCTGCAGAGGTGCTGTACATGTCCTGATTCCGGTGCCAAGTCCATAAAGCATAAGTCTCGTTTTTCACCTGCAAGTCGCACAGAAATACTTCTTAATCTTGTAACCGCGTAATTTTATACAAATTGCGTTGGTTGGATCTATTTTTCTACACAAATGCAGACATTTTTCAAGTCGGCTTCGAGTAGAGTTTTTCTAAACAGCACTCATCAGGAGTCGAGACCTTGGCAGTTGATGCGGTCACAGAATTACGATTTCACAGTTTAATGAAGTTCTAGTTTTGCAGCTCAACGTGGATTCGGAATATTAGTTTCCATGCATGTGAATGTGAACGTTCATAGTACTAAAAACTGAATGCAATTTGTTGAAGAAGGACTTAAATATGAAAATAATTTATCCGTAATACTGTCAAGAGTTTGTGATTTCATAGCAAAGAGAAAAGGGAAGTACCTCTAGAATCCCATGGCCAAAGCTACTCTCTCGATACGCACTGTATTCAGGCTGCTTGTCCCAACAGAACTTTCCTGCTGCTGGGCCTTTTGTGAAATTAAACGCGCAGAAGCCGCCCATAAACTTACCCGGAGTTGTAGATGGTTCTGGGCAGTTTCCGGGTTCATCAGCATGCGCAATTGCCATCTTCTCCCGGTTACCACCATCACCAACTGTGATGTAAACAGGGCCGCAGGGATCCAATGTGTAGTTATACACTCGATTTGACCTCTCATAGGCGTGAACCTGTTTATTAATTGTTTCCAAACAGTCAGAAGTAGCTCTCATATTTTTTCAACAGCTTGATAAAGCATTGAACACATAAAATGGAAACTGTTAATACCAATAAGAATTCTGGAACGTATTTGGGGACTTCAAAAACATGTTCCTTTGCTCAAACTAAACACTTACATGGCCGTTGAAGACGATGTCAACACCATACTTATACAGTATGTCTTCCATCTCAACTTTCATACATTCTTCTTCTCTGTAATGTGCCTTGTAGGTGCTGTACCATGGCGGGTGCCATGCTGCTACTAACCAAGGAGTCACATTTCTGGCAACTTTAGCCAAGTCTTTCTCCAACCACTTGTATTGATCGTCTGCGAGATAAAACCTAGTCATCTTAGTATGTCCCTAACTCGTAACCATGCGAAAGAAGTGAAAATTTTCTTTTCAGGAAAGCAAATGCAATAACCTGATTTGTGATAGGCTGCGTAAGCACCAAGCATTACAAAGTGTATCCCGCCTGCGTTGAATGAATAAAACAATGTAGATGATGATCCACTCTCGTTGGAGGGGAATGCAAATCGCGAACTATAAGAAGCAAATGTTCGATTCCCAGCCTGTTCTTCGATCTCATGGTTCCCTTCTACCACCATCATTGGAACTTTAGACACTAGCGGCTGCATAAACCTGATAAAAAACATACCATAATTTTGCAATTAGGTACGTTGTGCGAAAAATGACCAGGTGCCTCCTCATCAAAATAAAGCACAGAAAAACTCACCTTCCCCAGTAATCCCAACGAGGCTGATAAGTTTCGTGAATAGGAGTTTGCGAGAATGAGCAAGAGTAGCAATCAGACCCAGTGCCATTTGTGAGGTACAAGTTAGCATAACTAACGTCCCCAACCAATAACATAAGATCAGGTCCGTTAGCCAACAAGTGATCGACCGTTGATGTAGTATTGTATGTAAGGCCAAGGTCCCCAACCACAGCTATTCTTCTGGGGTAACTCTTGGGACCGGATACTGGCATAGTCTTGAAATAAGATACTTTGCTCATATCTGCAATGCTAGGATCTCCACATTGATACTGATACAAACTGTTGGGTCTCAATCCTGCACAAACCCATTAAAATTTAGAGAATTGCATACAAAATCATACATCCGTAAGTCCAAACAAAAGCAAATTCAGACGAGCGTTTGTGAGACGAACATAAATGATTAAACAATGGATACAACTATATGTTAAGGAGCAGATCATAAAACAATTTCATATTTTTGGATACAAATTATTCGTAAAGGGATTCAAGACTGATACGTACCTGTGAGGCGAACATGGTGTATAATTCCGGAAGTGTAGTTTTGGAGGCCTTCAAAAGGATACAGCTGATTGTAAATAAGGGAATACCCCGTTGATTGGCTATCCATAGGGAATCCGTACCTTCCATATGTAACAATACTTGAAACATTATTCGGATCCAACGGTTTTATATTGTCTCCAATTTGAAATTCCCCTGCAAATTCGATCATGAGATAGACTGAGAGTCTTCAATTCATCATGCAACTACATAACTCAAGAGTTTTTGTTTACAACAACAGCCAAGTCTTATTTCACTATGTAGGGTTGGTTGTATGAATCTTAAAATACCAGTGCGCTCGGTTTTCTGCCAAGTCTTCCGTTACTACATAACTCAATAGTTTTGGTTTACAACATTAAAATGCTCAAGTCCACCCCAAAACGTGCCCATCCAAAGACCAAAAGAAGTAACATTTCCATCCATACACTGGCATCAGTCAATTGAATTCTAACAGTAACTATGATTTCTGTGCAACCAAAGATTTATCAATGCCCCAAATAGGAAACAGTTAAAAGATTTTATTTTTCTCAAAAGGAAGATATTCTTCTTATAATCTAACATAAACTACGGAAATAGGTGTTCAAACTCGCATGCATGCATGGGTGGAAGTACATTCATTCTGGCCAACGTGACTACGACACGAAATTAACATATCCTCGTAACAATCTCACTAAAATGTGAAAACCAAATATAAAACTCATTTGTTAGATTAAAAACTCTCAATCTGCATAAGAAGTTGGAAACAACATATCCAACCGAAAGTACAAGCAAAGAAAGCAAAAGAACAAAAGAACAAAAACTTGAGAGAGAGAGAGAGAGAGAGAGAGAGACCTGTAATCCAAGATATCCAGACAGAGTCATGGGTTGTAGAGAGAGAGACAGAGATTTGTTCAGGCTCGAAACCCTTGACGATTCTTCGAACTCGAGGATCAGTGTCCGGCAAGTCAACGGCATTGCCTCGAAAGCTGTCGTCGAGAGGAACAGTGACAGGCTTAAAGGGTCCTTCGAGGGTTGTCGGTATTCCTCCATTGACAAACGTGAAGCTCACGGGACTCACAGTCAGCACAAGCAGCAGATTAAAGGCTGCAACTTTGGGCGGTGGAAACAAAAACAAACCCATCTATTTTTACTATTATTATTGTCTGAATTAAACAGAAACGAAACTCAAATATAAATAGAAGAACTGGAGTTGGCTGATCAAAACTTTAACATGTGTTCAATCGTGATTGATAGTAAGCAGAAGCGGCTGATCTGTTCAGCAACGAAGTTCTATCTTAAATAGAAATGGAAACCCAACACGCCTTCCAAAAAAAACAAAAAAAAAGAAACCCAACAAAATTATTGAAGGCTTGTTGTAAAATCCTATGTTGAAGCTAAAAGTCAAACAGACAAGGACAAATAAAATATGGCCGGTTTTGATTTGTTTTTTGGATTCAAACGATGTATCTAATTCTAAACTCCACTGAGGGGAGAGAGAGCGTTCAAATTATTAGATACTACGGATAAAAATAAACGTTTTATTCAACAGAACAATCAAACATTTGCGATCAGATTCAATGAAATGAAGATGATGACGGGTTTAGAGTTTCTTTTCAAGAAGGTAATAATTTTGTCACAAGCAGTTATTTTATATTTAACAATTTTGTCAGTTTCAAGCCGAGGCTTCTTTTGTTTCTCTATGAACACATGTGCTATATAGTTGTTAATGCTTGCTTGATTTATGGTTACTAATTAGTCATGGGATATCAAATCCGAATTGTTATGTATGCATTGGATTGAGAATACTTTCCATTTACATTTATGTTTTTAATTTTTTTAAAATTTCATATGAACTTATACACTTTTATTATCATATAAACTAAAATTTTAAGGGATCTGTCACATCAAATTTTTAAAATTATTAATTTGTCATTTCATACTAAGGGGTGTAGTTAAATTAGGATTTGATATGATTTTAATAGATTTTAAAATCCAAATGTAGTCAATCAGTATTTTAAAAAAGGATTTTTAAAGGAGTTTGAAATTATAGGGTAGTCAAATTAGGATTTTAAAGGATTTTAAAGAATACATCCAAATCCATGAGTAGTCAATTACGTTTTAAAAAAATGCACCAAATTCTAGGTGTAGTGAGAATATCAAAGATTTATTAGGATTTTAATGAATGATAGATTTGGATGGATTTGAGGATGGGTGGTCTAAATATTATATGCCATCAAGAATCCAACTCTAACCCCTCTGATTTCTTTTCACGTTATAGAAGAGGAACATTCTTCCTCTCTCAGACAGAAGAAGAACAGTCTTCCTCCATTCCTCAAGGTATTTTTTTTTCTCTTCCGAATTTGTATAAGGACTCTTTATTATTTTCATGATGTTTATATATAGTTGTTCTTAACATATAGGCACGGTACGTATTTGTACTCAGTCTTGCCAGTAATCTCAAAAAAACCCCCATCTTTCCCTTTCATGTGTTTAGTTTTGTTGTTATAATTTTGTTTTATCAGGCCGACTGGATGTGATTCCAATCTCCAAACTTCCCCCACCAACCCATAAGGTCTGCTCTCTATTTCTTTGTTGCTATTTTGTTTTTTTGCCTTTTTTTTTTTTTTTTTTGCTATTATTTTATTTATTACAATATTTTTTGGAATAAAGATGAATTGAATCGGACGTGGAGCAATTCCCGAGCTCCACCGATTGCTCCCTTACTTCCCTCATTGTGTTTAGTTCTTAATCTGTATTTAGTTCTCCATTGTCACTAGCTTCACTGGTGAATTATATTCCTCTAATTCATTAACTGAATGTGTGAACCTTAGACCGCGAAGTAAACTTTCTGCTATTTGAATTTTATTAAGATTCAAGCTTTCTCTGTACTTGCTCTTCTTTCACTTGATTTTGGCTTCATTTCGTTTTCACTCTATATTATTTCCTGTTCTTGTTCTTCTGCACGAAGTACAAACTTCTTTATGATTTTGTTTATTTGGTTGGTTAGTTTATATATAATGTCTCAATCAAGCATGGAATCGGAAGAAGATGAGGAAGAAATGGAAATGGATGAAGAGGAGGAAGAAATGGAAGTGGAGCAAATGGTGGAAGAGGAGTGTAGATCGGACGAATTTCTTGTTGAACCAGATGATGAATCTTCTTAGTCTCAACCATTGTCAGTTTCAGAAGGGGATCTTGACCAAGATTTTCAAACACAAGAACAACAACGAAATACTGCTAATGAATGAAGATATAACATAGATTTGGACATGTGGAGAGATGTCCAGAATGATAACATTGTGAATGGAGGATAATGAGTCGTTAATAATGCTAGTGTTTTGATTTTTAGGAGCACCATATGAAGGCCAGGGAGCAAAATGCATTTTAAAAGCAACATTATTATCTTGTTTATCTTTTCATCTATTATCTTCTTAAATTTTGATTTATATGTGGTTTATGTACTTGTATTAGCTTTGACTATAAGATATGTAATTGAAATCATCTATCTTTGTTTTGGTTAGTTAATTTTCTTTTAAAAATTTACAATTCAAATGAGAAAGGGAAACACATAATAAATCCTAAGGATCCATTTTATGTTATCAGATTCAACTAACAAATCCTAAGAAATCCATGAAAGAAATCCATATAAATATGTCAAAATCCATATAGAATTGTAAAATCCATTAAAATCCTTTGAAATCTGTCACTTAAAAAAAGTCTAATAAGTTTTTCATCCAAAATAAGTAATGTGCAAAGACACATGACTTGGTTTCAAGGTTATTTCAAACCTGTTAACTTGCACCATGCCCCCTCGAGATTATTTTGGACATTTCAACTCTGTTTTTGAAAAACGCAATGGACCGCATTGAATTCTCAAAGCTTGCAATTAGTTAAACTCTATGTTAGTAAGCTAATGTACTTTTTTAGTAGTTACGTATAAAGTTTTTGAAACGAACATGATGTTATTTTTCTTTAGCCAAATTTTGGGTTTGTACCAAAGAGAAGTAGACAACTTGTGAAAAGGATGTCAAATGTCTGATGCCAAATTATTCATCCACCTCATAGTGTAAATATATTATTGTATAAAAATTAAAAAAAATGTAAAAATGGTCAAAAGTCCGAAATAATCATGAGCACAAGTTATGTGCAATGCACGTGATTATTTTGGATGAAAAACTTAGCTGAGTTAGCGTGAGATAACAAATCAACGATTTTGAAAATTTTGATATGACAAGTCGGTAAAATTTTTAGTACATATGACTAATTAAAAAAAGTGTAAAAGTTCATATGACATTTCAAAATATTTATGTTTAATTTTATTTACTTTTTAACCTGGGCAACAAAATTTACTTTTTAACCTTTAATAGGTGCGGTAAAACTGACTAAATGACCCCAAGATTTACTCATGAATCATGAATGCCAAAAGCCCAAAACGGAAGAAAATCCAAATTCAACCAAAAAAAATCTCAAAAGGCCGACATCACTAATGTAAAATCATCACAAATTATTCAAGCTCCTCAAGATGTGTTCAATTAGCTCAATTCCTTCTTGTAAATATAAGACTCGCATTCAAGCAAAGAGAACGTTCAGAAAAGAAGCAAGTTCGAGCCCTTGAAATTAGATAACCTCTTTGGCAAATCATGTTGAATAAGAAGAGTATCCAAGATAACTCTAATGATCCCAAGAAGAAGAAAATAGAGCACACTCTTAAAGAAAGCTCACAAAACAAACTAATTGCCAAAGCTTTTCTTATTTAGCTCTAGGCTTTGTTTTTCCTTGGATGATATACAATGCTTGGGGACTTGGGTATTTATAGCAAACCAAATGAAAGCTACAACACACACTTAATTAAACTAAGATTATTTAGTACCACACAAAACCCATTAGTTGCACCTAATTTTTTCCACTCAACCATACCTAACATTGCAATTGTAAGCAATTACATCATCAAACTAGATATGGACTTGGACTTTAGATTGGGTTGTGGATTACTTATGGTTTTGGGCTTGACATTGATTCTCAACACTCCCTCTCAATGTCAGCTCTCATTCTTTGCACTATGTTGAGCAGACAGCGAAAATTTTCGAGCTTGCCTGTACTTAAACTTTTTGTGAACAAGTCCGCAACTTGATCATTCGTCTTGACCTGTCTCATCTCAATCTCTTCTTGTAGAACCGTTTCTCTGATAAAGTGGTAGTGCACTTCCACATGTTTAGTTCTTGCATGAAAGACTGGATTTTCCGCCAAGCGAATGGCCGATTGGTTATCACAGTACAATGGTACTGGATAATCTACTGGTTGATGTAGATCACTCATCAACTGTACCAGCCATGCATTTTCTTGAGCTGCCATTGTTGCTGCTCTATACTCTGCTTCTATGGTTGACAAAGATACCGTTGGCTGTCTCTTGCTACACCAAGAGATGGTTCCAGAACCAAGCTTAAACACATACCCAGTTGTTGATCTCCTGGTGTCATGATCTCCCGCATAGTCAGCATCACAATAACCAACTAACTTGCAGTCTTCACCTTTCTTGTACAAAAGACCATAGTCAATTGTACTCTTCACATATCTCAGTATTCGTCGAACTGCTTCCAAATGAGGCTTCTTTGGATTTTGCATGTACCAACTCATCACACCAACTGCATAAGAAATGTCAGGTCGAGTCAAGGTTAAGTAGATCAGACTACCTACCAATTGTCGATACATTGTCGCATCTTCCAAATCTTTTCCTTCATGTGCACATATTTTGGCGTTTGGTTCCATCGGTGTCAAAATTGGCTTGCATTCGAGCATTCCAAACTTCTTCAATAAATCTTTGGAATATTTTTGCTGACAGAGAAATATTCCTTCTTGTGTGCGATCAATCTCTAGACCAAGGAAGTGCTTGAGTTGGCCAAGTTCCTTCATCTGGAAACGGACTGATAAATTCTCCTTCGTCCGAAGAATTTCTGCCTCATCATCACCGGTTATGATCAAGTCATCCACATACACTAGCACGATAGCTAGCTTTCCTTCATTGGCTTTGACAAACAAGTTGGAATCTGCAGGTGTTACTGAATAACCACTTTGTGTTAGAAACTCTGCAATCTTACCGTACCATGCTCTTGGTGCTTGTTTCAAACCGTAGAGTGCTTTCCTTAACTTGCACACGTACTCAGGATGAGCTTCGCTTTTAAAGCCCATTGGCTACATCATGTAGATCTCCCGATCTAACTCTCCATGCAAGAAAGCATTCTTCACATCCATTTGGTATAGATTCCAAT